GTGGTTGTCAGATGAACGTTGACTTTCTGTTGTTGTCGTTGTTATATAGTTAATCGGACAATTCTCACAGGATGGCGTCGAGTGAACAAAGTCGCGAGTGTTTCGAGTTTTCGTGTGCGAAATATCCGTAAAATCGGTCAATTTTCACGGTGAAAGGACTGAGAATCGAAAGATTACGCGGCGGGAGTGCGTTTGAGCTAGGAGATTAATGCAGATCGGTGTTGATTAGAACGAAAAAAAGCAATTTATTCGAGCTCCAAAAGTTGTGCATAACCTAAAAATAGCAAGAACAGAAAAAGAACTGATTCGAAGAAAAACGACGGCGTTGAATCGGGTTTATCCGCTTGTCGTAAAGCGTGTGGAGGCAAATAGTGCGTTTTTCGTCGCCGGGAATTAGAATACGGATCGGTCTATTCGTCGGACCCGCCACGCCGCTCGCGGGAAGGAAGTGAAGAATACACGTTGAAGAAGAAAAATTAGGTGTTGATCAAGCGAGTGGGCATACGGTAGTAAAAATACCATGTCGAAGAACCCCAAAGTGAATGCAACTACCAGCAACGTCATGCTAGCGAGATCACAGTCCATGAGGACTGGCATAGGCACAACAGTACCACCAGGAACCTCCAGATTTGTACCAACGGGAGCAGGAACCTCTGGTGCTGCTCGGCATACGAAGAAAACACAAGGATCGAACTCAAGTAACAACGGAACAAACGTTAATCAGGTCCATGGCAGCAGCTCTGCTGAGGAAACAGCATCAGGAGCAGCACGTTCAGAAACGGTGTACTTGGAACCAATCGAATACGAAAAGCCAATACCAAAACATCCAGCCGAGCTAGGGAAAATTCTGCACGAGGCAGGCTTTCAAGGATGGAAGGAAATAACAAAGATCGGCAACTTCCGTTACAAGCTAAACCTAACCGCTGCACAAGGCTCGGCGGATTTGGCAAAAGAGGATTTTGCTAGAGCTAATCTGAGAGTATTCACGCCCAAGGCGCAAACACAGACGATATGTTTTGTACCGGGAGTGCCTCTGAGCTTTGATGCCGACGACTTGAAGCAGACGGAGGCAGCAGTACCAATCATCAAGGTGGAAAGAATCCGGCGGATGGGTCGAAACAGACAACTGTACGAGACGGAAAACCTGAAGGTGACAGTAGAAGGAACGCAGGTGCCGAGTCCGATCAAAATCTACGGGGTTAGCTTCAGAGCAGAACCATGCAAGTTCCCAGTGAAACAGTGCTGGAACTGCTGGTGGTTTGGGCATGTAAAGGCCAAATGTCGGAATCAAACCAAATGCCAAAGATGCGGCCAAGAACACGGTACATCGGACGAAGAGTGCGGGCGGGACCCATGCTGCGTAAATTGTGGGGAGAGACACGAAGCGAAAAGCAAAATCTGTGCGGAAAGAACCAGAAGGACCAAAATCATCGACAAAATGCGGATCGACCGAGTACCATACGCGGAGGCGGAAAACGCTTATCCCAAGACCCAAAACCGGTTTGAGTTGCTGGAGGACGATAATGTTTTCCCGGAAATAGAAGACCACAATTCCAACAACAACGAACGCGAAAACACTGGAAATCATTCCGATGCCGGAAACAGAGGATGGAGACAGGATCAAGGCAACGAGCGCAGGGCCAACGTAGGAGGGCAGCACAGGGGCCGCACGAAGTCATCCGAAGGTAGAAAGGAGCGGCAGCAGACCCACAAAGCAACGGATTTTGAAGCTTTTATTTCGGAGATGAGACAGGAGTTCATCCGCTTCTGCAGTGCCAGAGAATGGATCAAGCCCCTGCGCGAGCTGCGCGACAAACTAAGGAACAAACTACAAAAAGAACGAACAGAGGTGGAAACAGATCAAATCCTAATCGAGGTCAGCATGGACATAGAAGCGATACTGAACACAGAGATGAACAAAGAAACACAGCAAAACAGACGAACAACAACCGGCAATCATGGAATATAAAACCTTAACTCTATTGCAACACAACATACAAAGCATCAGGCCGACCGAAAAGCGCGAAGAGTTGTTCACATGCTTGACCTCGAACAACATAAGGATTGCCATACTACAAGAAATTTGGCTCAAAGAGGAGGAAACGTTCACTTTCAAGAATCATCAACTGGTATCTAAACGGAGGAAAGAAGGCTACGGAGGAGTAGGCGTACTAATACATAACGACTTGGACGTCCAGGAACTGGAATTGCCGGAATTCAGGAAGGTGGAAGCTGTAGGAGTCAAAATCAATCGAGGATTCGACCCGATAAATGTGTTTTCGGTGTACATCCCACCCGCAAGCGGAAGCAGCATTGAAACTACTGAAGACATAGCAGCACTGTTTGAGTTTCTAAAAGAACTGGAGGGAGAAACGATAGTTGGAGCGGACGTAAACGCACATCACCCAGCGTGGAGCCCAGATTTTCCGATGTGCAGCAGAGGAAGACTCATAAACGGAAAAATCGAAAAGTCTAACCTTATTCTCCTCAACGACGGTACACCAACGGTCATAACCGGAGTTGGAGGCAGACAATCGGCGATTGACATCACCTTGGCATCTCCGGGAGTAGCAAGAAAATCGACGTGGGAGGTAATGGAGGAAGAATTTGGGAGCGTCCACATGACCATCAGAGTAGGAATTACCAGCGAAATTCCAATCGTAAACGGCACGATTCGGAGGGTCAACAAGGAGCAACTGGTAGAATCCCTCAACAGCATCCGTCCACAATTCCTGTATTCGCCCGAGGAAATGGTGGAAATCTTCGAGGAGGCAGTAGAAAAATCGTCCTTTTGCGTCAAAAACAAAAAGGGCAACTATCTGAAACCGTGGTGGTCGGACGAAATCGCGAGCTTGTACGAGAGCAAACGAGATGCGCTGCGGAGATACAACGTGTCGAAAACAAGGTCCAACTACATTGCCCTTCAAAAGGAGAGAGCCCTATTCAAGAGACATGTCAGGAGGGCCAAGCGACAACATGTGAGAGAGCTTATGGAAAAAATTGACGAATTGACGCCTTCTCGACAGCTCTGGAACATGATAAAGGGCATCGACACTTCACTGACAGGGAAGCACAGGAAAAAAACGGAGCTATCCAAGGAGGACGGAACGAAGTTTATGGAGTTCTATTTTAATGGGAAATTCCACACACTGCAGATGCCTGAAACAAGGACGGAAGGCATACTCGAAGGCTACGAGAGGGCGCTCCAGGACAGCGAGATCTTACAGGTCCTGAAAGGGAAAAAGAACCATTCAGCCCCAGGCTTGAATGGTATATCGTATGCAATACTAAAGCAGCTAAACCCAGATATGCAGGAAAAAATATGCGAGATGTTAAGCAAAGTTTTCGTGTCAGAGAAAATTCCAGAAAAATGGAGACTGACGGAAATTCGCCCGATCCCTAAGAAAACGGGAAACACCAACCAACCCAACTGCATGCGACCAATTGCACTCATCAACGTGGAACTCAAGCTGATCAACGCAGCGGTCAAAAATCGCCTGGCGGAAATAGTAGAAATTAAAAACCTTATTCCACCCCTATCTTTCGGTTTCCGGAAACATGTGTCAGCATCCACCTGCGTAGCGTACGTAGTCAACAGGATCTATGAAGCAAAGGAGCAGAAAAAGGAAGTGCTAGTCACCTTCCTGGACGTGAGCAAGGCGTATGACACAGTGGTTTCCAAAACGCTGCTTAACACGTTGGGGAAATTGGGAATCCCTAGCAAGATCGTCTCGTGGCTGCACGAGTACCTACGAAGCCGGATCATGATCCTGAAGACCGACGAACAGCAAGTAGAAGTAGAGGTGTCAGAGGGACTACCACAAGGGTGCCCCCTCTCCCCGATACTTTTCAATCTGTACACGGCAGAACTGCACGAACTGTCGACGGAGAAAGGAGAACTAGTTCAGTTCGCGGACGACTTTGCCCTGGTCGTGACAGCCGACACGCTTGAGGAGGCAGTTGAGATCACCTCCGGTCTCGTACAGCAGATGTACACAAGGCTCGACCAATTAAACCTGAAGGTTTGCACCCAGAAGTCAGCAGCGATCCCGTTCACAAGGAAGAACACGGACAAGCTCAGGATATCGGTCAAAGGTGAGCAAATCGAGTTAGTCAACACGCATCAATACCTTGGATACACCCTGGACAGAGAACTCCGGCACAGGAAGCACATCGAAAACATCAGAGACAAAGCAGGCAAGAAACTAGGATTGATGAAGCTACTCTCCAAGAAAACAAGTGGTGCAAACCCGGAGACGTTGATAAAAATTGGGAACGCCATAATAAGAAGCCGCATGGAGTACGGAGCAGCGGTGTTTGGCAACGCTGCAAAAACCAATTTGGACAAGCTGCAAGTCGTTCAGAACGCGTACATAAGGCAAGCGATGCGGTACCTACCGAGCACTCCGGTGCACGTCATGCTAGCGGAGTCAGGACAATTACCGATGATGTTGAGAATAGAAGCGCTAACGAAGAGGGAACTAGTAAGAACGACATACTTCAGAACCCCTATCATGAAGTTTGTCAGCGACGCGTTGTGCAAAGAAATGGGCAACGGTTCGTACCTAACGGAAACGGCGGACAAGCACGTGGACTTGCTGTATCAAGTACACCCCTCAGATAAGGAACTCTCAAGGAAGAAGAGAATGCGGTACTTCAGAAGTTCAGACCTTTTCATGACTGTACGCCTCAACCTAGGAGGAAAGAACGTCAAGAAGGAAAACGTCAGCGAGGAATCATGGAGAAGAATATACAGGGAAGAAGAAAACACAACGTACAAAAATTATGAGAGGATTTTCACGGACGGATCAAAATCGGAAGCTGGAGTAGCATTCGCGGTATATGACGACAACAGGAAACGTAAAGCAGCCGAAAGCATTAACAGCAACTTTACCATCACCAACGCGGAATTTCTAGCGATTCTCCAGGCGGTGGAAACAGCAAAGAAGGAAAACTACAAAAAAGCGGTGATTTTCACGGACTCGAGGAGCGCGTGCGAGATGCTCCTAAACGAGGACATCATCGCAAACAACTATATCGCTTGGGAAATCTACAAGGAGCTACAAGATACGAGAGAAAACACCATCAAAATCCAATGGATTCCAAGCCACGTTGGGATTAGAGGAAACGAAGTAGCAGATCAAGCAGCGAAGCAAAAAAGCAGGGAGAAACAGACATTCTTCAACGGACTCACCATGGCAGATGCGCTGAGACTCAGCAACCTGGATATTTGGGCAGACTGGAGCAGACGTTACAAGGAACAATCAAAAACCAAAGGATGTTGGCACTTCAACCTAATGGAAACACCAGGTAGGAAAATCTGGTCACACGAGCTGCAACTGAATCCGGACGAAGTAAAAACCTTGAACAGAATAAGAAGTGGTCATGCACTCACCAAATCCAAAAGAGCCACGTGGGGATGGGAGATAGACGACCAGTGTGATTGGTGCGAAGTAAAAGAAGACATCAAACACATCCTATATGACTGCCCAAAGTTCAATATTGAACGAAACAAGTACCCGATACTAGAATACATGAAGCCAATCGAACAAGTTCTAATCGAGCTTTGTGAAGAAGAACTCAAACAGATCACAAGATTCATCAAGGAAACCAAAAGCCAAATTTAAATCAGGACAACACCATCAGCTAAAACCATGAACCAGAAACACGAAAATACGACACCCAACGAACAAGCGAAGAAGATTGTGGTGAGATGGACCAACCTATGGTCTTAGCCTGTCGTAAAGACAAATCCAAAAAAAAAAAATATATATATCAGTGCTAACATTTGAAAACGGCGCAAAAGCCATTTGTAAACAAATGGTTTGTGGGCCCTTTATATTATATAGTTAATCGTCATGAGGTTGACAATTCCCAAGCCTGGTCTCAACAAACCTCGTTCCTTTCATTTTCCTATGCCTAAGGGATATGGAGGCAGGATTATAGGTGGACGTCGTATACACGGATCTCAAGGCTGCTTTCGACCGGGTTGATCATGCCATTCTACTTGTCAAACTCGAGAAGCTCGGTGTCTCTCAAGGACTCACTCGTTGGGTTTGAATCGTATCTTACTGTAGTAACGTGCATAACGATTTCGATCAAGTTTTTTTTTATATCTTTATTAAGGAAACTTTCAGCCGTTGGCTGGCTCGTCTCCGAACATTTTGATCAAGTGATTTTTCGACGAAGGAAAAGAATCCTATGTAGAATAGTAGATCCGATGGAGAAAGAGATAAATATACAAAAAGGGAAATTGAGCTAGGTTGGAGATGTGTGTAAAAGGAATAGGCAGAATAAATCGACAGTGAGCATGCATAAGGGCCTATACGCGATGATCGATTCTCTTCATCGATTTTCTCTTTTGTTAATAACTCGCTAGATTTAACGTTTCTCGGTACGTTTGCTATTGCTTTTGATAGCTAATACAACTTGTTACAACTCTGCATTGAACAAATTCTAGAAAACTGTTTCGCTTAGCTGTAGCAATGCAAAGAGAAATTCGATGAAGAGAATCGATCATCGCGTATACGCCCTTATGAATGCTCACTGTCGAAATTATGTTTACTTTTTGTGACAACTAACGAAGCCAGTGGTTTTAATCTCTGTCCGATAGGAAGCCGAAGGATAAAGAGTTAATTATTTCACTTACCAATGGAGAGTTTTGTGGTACCATTCGGTACAGCGCCATTTTGTGAACCAACCGACTAAGTCGGTCAGGAAGCACACGAGTCGGATTATTGGTCCTTGGTGGCTATTAATCCTAACAGTAAAGGACATCATTTCGCTTTGTGGCCTTGCAAGGTCAAAATCGCCGCATTCCTCGGGCCAAGACGGCTCTAAACGCAAAAGAGGACCCCTCTCAGCAAAATCACTCCGGCCTTGCCTGGACTCTGGTGATTCTTGTCAACGAGGGTAGACGCCAGGAGACCGCCATCAAGTCAAGTCGATCTGTTGACCGATCCATTAGCAGGTAAATTCAAACATCACCACCCTGTCAGGCTTGATTCGCCTGACGTCAAGCTCGTCGTACGTAGTATCATCGGCGAGCGCTCGCACATCGGCAGAGTAGCCTTCGGCGGAGCAGAATCAACGGCGCAGCAGTTCAGTACCGGTACGTCAAACCCCCATAGTAAGAACCCACTGTACACCCATAAAATTCAATAGAACTACTATTAGAAATCCAATCCACACCTGCTATAGCTTTTATTAATCAATAATTAGTATAATACACCCTTTGATTACTGTGTCTCTTAAACTTTTCATAGCTTTTAGTCAGGTGACAGTACTGCATATGAGGATCGCGAAGCCCCTCCAGATTACCCAGTAGTAAGCCGACCTTGAGACACAGCTCGAGAGGTTTCTTGCTACTGAGCGTTTTTACCGGGATACAGACAGTAGAGTTACAAATTTGAGACCGCTGGTATTCTCGATATTCATTAACGAAATCGGTTTGACACTTCCAATTGGCTGCCGGTGATGTACGTAGTTGTGCGATGCTTCACTGATTGCTTGCGATTGCAGCATCTGATCGATAGTTTCGATCGATAACCAACCTCTGCAACGTGTGGACAACGTTCTTGATCTAGGAATTACACTTGATTCTGCTTTAACATTTAAGCTATATAACTTGGAGATCATAGCCAAAGCGAACAGGAAACTCGGATTCATCTTTAAGATCTCTGTTGTGTTTTAGGATCCAACCTGCCTGACAGCTCTATATTGTTCTCAAGTGCGATCGATCGGGGAATTTGGAATCTTGGCATGATGTCCGTTTGGATAGCAAGGATCGAGTCTGTTCAGAGGAAATTCGTTCGTTACGCTCTTCGCCACCTTCCTTAGAATGATCCAACGAACCTTCCACCCTACGAAGATCGTTGCCAACTCCTGGGTATTGACACTCTTGAACGTAGACGGAAGATTACCCAGGCAGTTTTTGCAGCAAAAGTACTGATAAGACTGAATTCGAAATCTATGCACCTGAACGAGTTCTACGATCGAGCAGTTTCCTGTATCTCGAACCCCGATCAGCTAGTTACGAATTACATGATCCAATACGTTTCATGTCTGCACGTTTCAATGACTTCTATGCTTTTTTCGACTTCAACTGCACAGCGGAAACCTTTCGTCACCGGCTTTTCCCATCAATCTTCATTTAGACAACAAAAGTTCGATGAAGAGAATGAAAACTGAAAACTTCTGGAATGTTTAAAATTGAGGACACTTCAAAATTGACAAAAATCGTAGAACAAGAACCGACACTGGATTATGTAAGATCGTTAAAAGCCAGGAACGTTCGAAGACTGCTAGGACTGGCTATTTCCTATCAGCTTGCGTTCGAAATTATAGCAGAATACCCATTACGCTATAACAGACCTTTTGAGGAAGGCGAAATGAATAGACAGAAGAGGGCGACATACGATACATAGAACTGACGTCGGCACTGATCCAGATCCGCAACACGACGCCGATTAATGTTGTTTTGTGTACAACTCGAAATGGAAAACGAAAACCGTATCTGCGCAACGTCATCATAAATTTAGACATATCGATAAGCTTGTTTTGTAATTTTGAACGGTTTCATCAAAATATGAAACATGAAAAAGACGCTTGAGCTAATCGAGGACCTGCAGTCAAACATATGATTGCGAGATGCGACTTTTAATAATAACGTTTTATAGCCAAAGAAAAAGTAAAAACAAGACACATAGATGATTTGATGTGTGTCAATTATTGAGAAATGATTCTTCTGAACTCAACGTACAAAATACAGTCACGCGTTCTGTTTAACAGACTATAAGTTTTTGACTGAAGATAACATCAGCTCCTTAACAACTGGAAGCGATTGCCTTAGGACCGAGTGCAATGAAAAATTATCCTACTATTACGAATTATTAAAGCCCATCAAGTATCAAGTGAGTCAGTATCATAGTACTACAAGAACCTTACCTGCATTATCCACCGATGGCGTTGGTTCAGGATCTATTGCAACCTCAGGCGCATCCTCCGTAACACAGCTGGAATCCCCTGCTGGTTCTTCTTGTTCCATTTGCTCATCCCTAGGCACACTTTCAATGTTCGACTCGAGCCCTTCGTCCGCTTCGGGACATTCAATGTCCCACGGACCATTCGACCCTGGAAAATAAAATAAAATTGCCAATCATCAGACCTTCCACTACCAACCACCCGACTCACCTTCGTCGTCATCCTCCCCACTCATTGGGTCCACTTCTTTCTCATAGTCTTGCATGCACTTCCCCCGACTCACAGGAACCCGATCAACCGGATCCACCACACTCTTCTTGCCCACTACCTGGTCCCTGCTGGAAGCCAGCGCCGCCGATGCTGCAGCAGCCGCAAACACCTCACTCATCATGGCCGTTCCCCGCCGGCTCTCCGAGTCGATCAAACTGTTTATCATCGCTATCCTTTCGTTGATGGTGTTATAGCACTGACTGTCAAACATCCGACCCGTGCCCAACAATCGGAACATGGTTTCACCCAGCAGACCCCAGATGTGCGTAAGCTGAGGATTCACCCCGCCAAGATCTTCACTCTGGAAGACGGTAGATGGAAGATTTTGCATCGAGCTGGCCGGAGAGATGCTTTCTTCTTTTTTGATGTTCGACAGTAGTTGGCTTCCCAAAATGCCGTCAACCTTTCGGACAAAGTCCAATTTTCGACGAATGTTACGCAAATTGGTAACGGTGCCAATTGTAACTAGTTGAGGTTTCGGTTCGATCGCGTCCGGAAGAGAATCCGTCTGGGTGGACGTCGATTCTGAACGAACCGAAATATCATCCAGAATGGGAGAGAGCAGCGATGGAAGTTCGATGACACATTCGCGCAAAATTTCGTTGATGGATTTTGGAACTACTTCCGGGAAATTGACCCCAACGTCGACCCGCTTGATGAAGGCTGACGTGCACGTCGAACGGGTGACTGTTGAGCTAGAGTACATCGTGCTCTTGTTGGCGAATGTCTTCTTCGGAGGTTCTTCCTTGGATGTTTCCTCCGAGAAACTATCGTTAGTTATCGAGTATTGCGGAGTTGGTGGTTCTAAATCCTGAGTAGAAGTTGAAGCACTGCTAAGGGATGGTTTTTCTTCAACGGCATTGACACCAATAGTAGTATACATAGGACCAACAGTCATGGTAGCTTGATCTCGACAATCCACTTCTAATTTACGCTTCTTTCTGGAGGCTCGCTTCTTATTCAAACACGCCAGCACATCTTCTGGCACTTCCTTGTCATCTTGAACCATACTCTGCACATGGCATTTCCAGTCCCTGAACTTCATCTGCTGATCAGTTGGCAGCAAGGAATTATCCACCAGTAAGCTACAATTTCTCACCATATCCAATGCCAAGCTGTCATACTTATCTCTCCAGTGGTCCGCTTTTCGCTCTAACTCCGCCACCGTTTCCTTCTCCTGTAGCTCTGCATTGATCCTGGCATTCTCCGCCGCAGATGTTCGTGCTTCCAGTTCTTTAACTTTCCTTACATAATCCTCCTCCCGATTAACAATCCCCTGATTTTTCCCAACTTCCGCTTCGTACAGCTGTTTGATCTGCAAGGCGGAAGTTCTCAGCGAGGCAATCTTCTCCTTTAGGCCCTCATTCTCCACCTGCTGGGCCTTGATTTGCCGGATCAACGAGTCTGCACTGGCCAGTGTGTTGGCAATTACGTTCAGATCCAGCTGGGCTACGTTATCAGTGTTGATCACGCTATAAATAAACTCCTCAGCGCTCATCTTTCACACTCTCTCTTGCATTCGTCCCTTCCGAAAAAGCTGAAGGAAAAAAAATCCCCTTCTTTTGACAGACGGAAGGTTATGCTGATGGTTCTTCTGTCGTGCGTGTGCGCTGCACTGTTTTGGTTAGTGGTTAAACGTTTGCGGAACTGCTTCCATCCTGGTGGTTCCACGGCACCGGAAATGCCACACTTTCGAACTTCGCAAAATGCAGCACTTTTTCCACGATCAAACCACGATATGGCTGGTCAAAGCCGTGAAAGTTTCGGTTTTCTCAGCCTTGCAAAACTATACGAACGACACTCTTTTTCTTCCTCTGACCATTTACTCGAGAAGACACAGCCAGCGAACAAAGTGGGGGAAGAAAATGCGAGTTTGACAGATGGATGACAGGAAGGAAAACTGCAAAAAAGGAAAAGGCCTTTTTGGGGGAGGGTCGTCCGCAAACGGCGTCCGATGAATCAATATTTCGGTACTAACATAAATTTTCATAAAGACAAAATTGCTTCTGAGAAAAAAATTTTTTTTTTTGTTTCATCCTAAAAAAAACAAATATCATGGGAATTCCGTAGGGCAACGATTTCTGCGACGGTTTCGACGCGTTTTGCCTCCAGTGAAACAGACAATATTTAAAACAGCAAAATTACAGTTTTGTTATAGCAAAAAAATGTCGATAGACTGATGCAAAAGTTGAAATTTTTGCTCCCCACGGTTCCCAACCGGGTCCTAATTAGCTTCCCAAAATTTCAACTTGTATGGTAAGAAACTGACTGAGCACAAACCATTTGAAGTTTGTATGAGAATTACTATGGGAAATCCAACCGTTTTGTTCATTGATTTCTAGCTTTTTTCCATATTGCGAGAAAGATCGTCAGATTTTCCTATGGGAAATTTTCTCAGCTACATCTTTGCGAGATATCGTTTTTGAGCCAAACGTTTAATTAAATAAGTAGGTATTAATTATTTAATTGCTAATCTTATGGCATGATTAAGCAGTTGTTTTGTTGGCAACACTGTATTGTGCAGTATGACATAGTAACCATGATTTTTGTGCTCTATTTCACGCGTGAAACACCAATGGGGCCTGCTGAGTAATTGATTTAGCAGTATCATAAAACATTAGCGTCTTGAACCATTAATAGCTATTGTTCCACACATATAATCGAAAATGGTCTTCAGCAAAATTGTAGCTGAAAAATTCTCATACAAGCAAAGCAATCAAACATTTTGACGATATACATGGTGAATTGATAGAAAGATATGTTTAAAAGTTGCTTTTCCCATAGTAATTCCTATTCAAATGGTTTGTGTACAGACAGTTTCAAGTTCAAATTTTGGGAGTTTATTTAGGACCGATTTGGAACTGTTTAAGGTCTGTGAAGGAAAAATTTCGAAGAAACTCAAAGAAACAAGCTATTTTTTTTTTGGCTCAAGCTAATCGAAGCAAATTTATAAGGCGAATAAGAAAAGAACACAAACTTCGACCGATTGTAATACGAGCATGGGTACGCTTATAGATGTACTTGGGACCATGGGCTAGCCAAGTTCAGATCCCATTTAAAATCGTTAGACCAGGGGGTCCCGAAGAGACAGACTCAATGTTTTGACTCAGGAAGTACTAGACCTTCGATCCCAAGCTAACTGAAACACCCTTTGAAACGTAAGAAAATCCACGAACCGCTCATTAAACTGTCAAATTTATAAGGCGAATCAAAACAAACACAGATAGAACGAAGTGACAGACGACTAACTGTCGAAGAAAACAATTAAAATAATGTACGTCACTGTAATAGAATTTTCTTAGAAGCTTGTGCCATCAGCCACCAGCTGGGCTAGTAGTTTTGTATTGATATGAAAAAAGTTGATTTTGTGTGCAATGATCTTTGACAGTGTACAAAGAGTGTATCATTTTGTACTTTTTTTTTAAGCATTTCAATTTTGAGTAGAATGAAAGAGATAAAACCAAAACATTCTAGTATATTTGGTGAAAATGCTAGTACAGTCCAGTAGTAGTGTTTTCATGTGGTACACTGAAAAAATGCAATAGCAGTCACCAAAGTTTCGTCTGTGTCACTTCGTTTGTGGTACTGTCTAAACTAAATACAATAACAAGATTCATAAGCCTTATGAATAGAATGGCACAAGAAGTTGTTACATAACTAGGCCACGAAAAATCAATACGAATTCTATTAATTAATTTTATGAAACATAAATTTGTCTAGAAATTTGTTCATAATTCGAAAAGCTATGAAATTTACAAGTCACTTTCACGAATAATATAAAAAATATATGAAAGCGGCACTGTGGCATCGAACGAAAAAAAACACTGAGATTATTGAATTATTTCAGAACGCTGAAAAACATATCTTTTGTGGTAGATGAATGGCAGAAACCTTGAATGTAAAATATTGAATTTTGCATTTCTGACTGGACTCCCGAAAAGTGCTAATAAAATGGCACTTTTACCATAGAAGTAACTCTAAGATCAGAAGGTCCCGAAGAAACGTGCTCAACTTTTTGGCTCAGCTCTGGTACTATCTTCGGTCCCGAGCTAATCGATGCACCCCTTGAAACATAGGAAAATCGACGAACCCCTCATTTTGTCTGTCAAACTTTCATAGCGAATCAAAACAAACATAGTGTAGTACTAGAATTTCGACTGGAATGCGGTCACCACAAAACTGAAAAAAAGTTGTTCCAATCAAGCAAAGCAGTGCATTTTGACAGAGGTCCATACTTTTACCAGCCGGTGGGAACTAACGGTTTTAAATTGGCTCACTACTTGACTAACCTATTGGTCCCAAGTACATCTATAAGCATTCTAGTCGAAATTCTAGCACTACACTATGTTTGTTTTGATTCGCTATGAAAGTTTGACAGATAAAATGAGGGATTCGTGGATTTTCCGTTGTTGCGAGGGGTGCATCGATTAGCTTGGGACCGAAGATAGTACCAGAGCTGAGCCAACAAGTTGAGCACATTTATTCGGGACCTTCTGGTCTTAGAGTTACCTCTATGCTTTTACCACCGACAAACCGACATGAATGACCATAGCAAAAACAATAAAATTTCTGACCAAAGCACACTACTGACATCTGGCTCCGTGCGAAATATTTAGCTGAGCCATGAACCCGCATGCAAAAGCTAAGCTATGGAATTGGTTCGTGTCTGATCTATTCTGGACAAAGTATTTTTATCTAGATCAAAACCCCTTTGGTTTTGACAGTTCGGATCACTGCACATTTAAATCGGCCGTTTACGATTTTCGGGCATAAGTTCGAATGAAGTGTCATATCGGTTTGTCGGTGCTTTTACGTTGTATTGTCTTGTCCAGTGTTGGCAATATCATCAATCATCTGCTCTCATAAACGTCATTGCACTAATACCAACAATCAATACGAAACTAACGATTTTAAATTGGCTCACCACTTTAGTAGCCTATTGGTCCCAAGCAAACGATTAACGTACCCTATTCTAGTTGAAATTCTATTACTACACTATGTTTGTTTTGATTCGCTATGAAAGTTTGACAGATAACATCAGGGGTGTGTGGATTCATGCAGAACATGCAGGGGTGAGTGAAATAGCTTGGGACTGCTTGGGACCGTTGTTCTGGTACTGAGTGAGCCAAAAATAATAATGATTTTCTTCGGGACCCAGTGGTCTTAGAGTTACCTCTATGCTAATACAGGGACTCTAATCAACTAGATCACTCTAGTAAAAGTATGGACGACTGTCATCACAAAACTGAAAAATTGTTCCAATCAAGCAAAGCAGTGCATTTTGACAAAGGTCCATACTTTTACTTAGAGGACATTATAATCCCGAGCAGCAATCGTGTTTTTTTCAGTTACCGTGGGAACTAGGGGCATCCCACTCTAAACCATTGAAGAATCAAAGTGACGATTGACTCTCAGATGGCGAGTGGGTGAATATGGTAATGACGTTTTGATATCTGTCGAATTGCATGAAATTTTTCTAGTGCATCATCATTTTTTGGCTTTGCTTTGATTCGCCAATAGTTTGTTTGTTTGTTTGTTTATTTGGTTCTACATAGGGTTACCATATGGTATCCTAATGGAGGACATGTCCTCCTTTTTCAATAATTTTTCTACATCCTCCTTTTGCCCGAAAATGTCCTCCTTTTTAATCCTTGCATTTTTTCCAGTGACATACCCATAAAATTATTTTCAAAGAGTTGTTTGCAGAGCTTATTTGTTCAATTATTTCACAACCTCATCTTATCTAGCAAATGTCATTCGATGGTGGGACTAGGAGTATACTACAGCTGTCAACCCCCCCATTATTTAGGCTGCGGTCCATTTGATGAATTTCAACTTATATTTGACAGATGGAAAATTTTCAAATAAACCTGCTATTCAGGAATCAATTATTACAAACAATTTCTCGAAAATCGGACAATCAACAACAGAGGGATTTTCGAACATTATAATTTATTTTCGAAGTGTCAGTGAAAATTAATCGAATGGAACACAGCCTTAGCATAAAGGTAACTCTTAGACTAGAAGGTCCCGAAGAAACGTGCCAAACTTTTTGGCTCAGCTCTGGTACTATCTTCGGTCCCAAGCTAATCGATGCACCCCTCAAACATTATGAAAATACACGAAGCCCTCATTTTATCTATCAAACTTTCATAGCGAACCTTAACAAACATAGTGTAGTACTAGAATTTCGACTAGAATGGGGTACGCTAACAGATTTACATGGGATCAATAGACTACACACTAAGATTTTTTTACAGGAGTCAGTATTTTTTTACTGGGTTTTTGAATTGCTGAAAAGGTCGGTAAAAATTCAAATGACCGTTATCCGTAAGGAATCAATGAAATCGACCAATTTTATTTTCTATCATTAAATGGGGTTAACAGAACTAAGTATGTACAAGTTCAGAACAAATATTCTCATTAATAAATTTTCCACAGATTTTTAAACTTTTACCGAACAGTTCCGCAATTCAAAAACTCGGTAAAACCGTACTGACTCTATTAGTGTGTAGTCAAGTGGTGAGCCATTTTAGAATCGTTAGTTTTCACCGGTTGGCCTTAGACTGTGTTCTATTGTTCTGAATTTTTACTTAAATTTGCATTTCGAAAATAAATTATAATGTTCGAAAATCTCACTGTTGTTGATCGTGTGATTTTCGAGGTGTTTGTCAAAATTGATTCCTGGTCTGCCAGAATAAAGTTTGGTACAATTTGAAAATTTACTATCTTTCAAAACTAAATTAAAATTCACCAAATGGAACACAGCCACACAGATTGAATCCAACATGGGTTCAATTTTGACGTTCTGGTTCTATGGGATTTCAGGTTTTTCAAGCATAATCATTCAAATCAACGTATCTGATGTTGTAAACAATCAATTCAATCGACGATTTGTGGCAACTGCAAGTTCACTCACAGAAACTAACAACACCAGCTCGTAGGCGAAAGTTTCCCCTACCTGATGATGGTGTTTGTTTGCGTGGTTGAGTTAGCAGTTAAGACAAATTGACAGTGGGGCGTATACACGATGATCGATTCTCTTCATCGATTTCCTCTTTGCATTGCTACAGGTAAGCGAAACGATTTTTCTAGAATTCGTTCAATGCAGAGTTGTAACAGGTTATATTGGCTATCAAAAGCAACAGCAAACGCACCGAGAAACGTTAATTCTAGCGAGTTATTAACAAAAGAGAAAATCGACGAAGCGAATCGATCAACGTGGTTACACCATAGAGGTACACGGTAGACTAGTAGGTCCCGAAGAAACGAGCTCTACTTTTTGGCTCAGCTCTGGTACTATCTTCGGTCCCAAGCTAATCGATTCACCCCTCGAAACATAGGAAATTCCGCTAACCCCTCATTTCATCTGTCAAACTTTCATAGCGAATCAAAACAAACATTGCGTAGTACTAGAATTTCGACTAGAATGGGGTACGTTAATCATTTGCTTGGAACCAATAGTCAAGTAGTGAGCCAATTTAAAATTGTTAGTTTCGTATTGATTGTTGGTAACACCCTTTTACATGCTCACTGTCGAAATTGTAGATTGAAGAGATGGTTTACAAAAGCAGATACTTCGATTAGTTACGCTTGATTTGTTTAGGCCGCTGTCATACTGAGGCTGTGTTCCATTTGAAAAATTTTCACTTAAATTTGACACTTCGAAAATAAATTGACTTCTTGCCGCAAGATTTCACCAATACAACGTTGCTAGTGTAGCCGTGTAAATTCGATTTGTTTATTATTTTCAACCACGAAATCAGCTGTCAAAGTGTTCGACTTGACAGCGGTTTGTTTTTTATTTTCAACCAGTAAAATTCTTGTATTAGTGAAACTGCTCACTAATACTAAAGGTGGTAGAGAACTCTATTAAGATGTTCGAAAATCCCTCTGTTGTTGATCGCCCGATTTCCGAGAAAGCGTCTGTCAAAATTGATTCCTTGTCTGTCAGAAATAAGTCTGCTGGAATAGCAGGTTTATTTGAAAATTTTCCATCTGTCAAATTTAAGTAAAAATTCACCACATGGAACACAGTCTGAGAACAAAGAGGCACGCTGTCCTACTGAGGCTGTGTTCCATTTGGTAAATTTTCACTTAAATTTGACAGATAATTTTTTTCAAATTACTAGTCAATCTAGCAAATTTATTTCTGACCGGCTGATCAACAACTGAAGCATTTTCGAACATCTAATTTATTTTCGAAGTGTCAAATCGAAGTGAAAATTTTCCAAATGAAACATAGCCTGAGAGCGAAGAGGAAGCGTGAAATCAAATGTAAGGAATAATATAAATAATAGATTTTTTTTTTGTATAAAACGCTAAGCACGCCTCTTCGCTCCCACTATAGCAGCGCCTTGAGATCCTATATTGAGTCAGTGGTAAAATTAACAAGTTGCTTAGATGTTCCATGTTGGTTTTCAATCAACGATGACATGTATCTTAATGTATGTACATGATAAAAGTTGGGATGGTTTCAAGGCGTAAAGCTGTAGTTTTCATGCAAATCAGCTAGACTAGATCATTTCCAAGGCTGTGGTCCATTTGGTGAATTTTCACTTAAATTTGACACTTCGAAACTAAATTATAATGTTCGAAAATCCCTCTGTTGTTGATCGGCCAATTTTCGAGAAGGTGTGTGTCAAAATTGATTCCTTGTCTGTCAGATATAAGTCTGCTGGAATAGCAGGTTAATTTGGAAACTTTCCATCTGTCAAGTTTAAGTGAAAATTCGCCAAATGGAACACAGCCCAAGTATCAAAAATGAATTATGAAGGCTAGTTTGATGCTTTTTTCAGAATGATAACGAGAAGATGAATTGAATTGGTAACGACTATAAGTTATGACAATCTCAATTGAACCTTTGCAAATCATGCATTTTGTGATAGCGCACATATTATTAAAACGTTTGATAAAAACTCAATGTTAAACTTTAATGTTAAGAAAAGGAATCATTGTCCTCCTTAATCTCCAAACCTCAAATGAAATGTCCTCTTTTTCAAGTTTTGCATATGGTAACCCTAGTTCTACATCAACAGACTGGGTTTAGTCCTAATGATGGATTAAGCAATACTAGGAAGTACAATATAGTCAAGAAGTAACAAGCTGCAAAGGCCGTGAAGTCCAACTTAATTCCTAATTCTTAAAATTATAGGTATCCCGGAATCTCTGACGCAGCGTCTCGCGTGCCAAGTGAAAATTAAATAAAGAAGCAACACGATTGAAAGCCCTTTGTAGCCCATTGATAGCACCATACGAACTATAGTTTGTACGACGAAAAGGTATCTTCAGCATTGCGTTGTTACGGAGTGCTCGTGGTTGAACGTTAACGTCGATTTGAAAATAAGGACAATCGATTCTGCCCTGTAGAATGTCTGCCACAAACAGGGCCCTTGTCGTAACTCTTCGACTTCACAAATAATCCAGGTGAATTACCTGCCACCGACTTTCGTAGCTTGGAAGGCGATGAGGATCCCTCCAAGGCAATCGTCGAAGGGCAAACCAGATGAATCGTCGTTGAATAGACTCTACTCTTTTAACACTGTTTTGGTAATTGGAATTCCATACAGGGCAGTAGTATTCTAACACCGACCGGACGAGGGAGCAGTAAAGCGACTTCAAACAGTAGATGTCCGTGAAACTTTCAGCTATCCTGAAGTCGAGCGTTCTGGATGCCTTGTCGATCACGTGCGAGATATGCTGGCTGTATGTGAGTTGACAAACTAAGATGACTCCCAGATCCTTAATGTGATTCACATGATGTACGCCAACGCCTTCTAGCATATAACTGAATGTAATTGGATGTTTCTTCTTTTCGTTCTCATGATTACTGAACATTTTGTTGGATTTACAACCATGCGGTTCAGTTGGCACCATTTAGCAAAAGCGTTGAGTTGGAATTGGAGAAGGTGGCAGTCAGCGAGATAGATTTCCATGTCGTCTGCGAACGACAGTCGTGGACCATCAAGGACGAAATGGACGTCGTTGAAATACACAAGAAATATCAACGGGCCGAGGTGGCTACCTGGTGGAATACCCGAAGTGGCAGGGAACGAAGGAGATCGGCAGTCGTCGATTGCAACTTCCAAATGACGATCAGATAGATAGGATGCGAAGCATCGTAGGAGACTGCCGTTTATACCGAGCCTATCCAGTTTGGCGATCGCTATAGGATGGTTCAACTTGTCGAAGGCGGCTGATAGGTCAGTGTAGATGACATCTGTTTGCATATGGTCTGTAGAGGTGAGACACAGAAGGTTGGAAGTAGTGTACCGCCCTGCCATGAAATCATGCTGATCTTCGCTCAAGTGCTGCTTGAAGTGAGAGACTAATGGTTCCATAACGACCAACTCGAACAGTTTAGATATGGCACACAACGATGTGATGCCGAGATAGTTGCCGATGTTTCTTTTGCATCCCTTCTTATGCACTGGAAACATCTCAGCTGATTTCCAGCAGGAAGGAAACACCCCACTGGAGAGGGACATTTCAAACAGATGGCAGAGAGGAGCCACCAGGCTATCGATGTGTTGCTTGAGAAAGACGGAAGGAACTCCGTCAGGTCCAGGCTTAAATGAAGACTTCAGTTGCGAAGCCGCCCTAGTTATCATAGCGAGGCCGATGTTGATAGCTGCCAAAGATTGACCAGACATTGGAACATTACTGGCTGCTAGAAAAATAAATGTTTGAAATTCTTGCATATTTCCATCGTTGCTAGTCTATAGACTATAGTGTAGTTGTTAGTTGTTGTTTTCTTCATCCAGTCATTTCTAAATATTTGTCACGTATTTAACCAAGGATTCGACAAGGATCTGAACGGATGTATCTCTGGCATGAAGCGAGAATGTGTCCTCCTCTGCTTCCGAAACGAAACCAAAATTCACCGATTTATGGTGTTAGTGGCAATATGGCTAAAAGCACTAGTACAAACCTGCAAAAACTACAGAATTATCATTTTCATTGTTTTTTTTATATATATTCTTCCTGGACGAAATAAGTGTAAAGCATTCATAGGGCATTCATTAATTTCTATCGAAATGGGTAGGGTTTACTCAGTTGACAAATGTCATCATCTGAGTAAACGTTACCCACTATTCACTATGTGCATCGTAAAAACACCAGGACATTGAAATGTTATGGAAGTTTACGCATTTACATGGATGTATATTTGTTTATGATGCGCTTTGTAATACATGCATCCAAAATCTCTTTTATTCAGGTTATTCTCATCATGATTGATAAGTATTATATGGCAAAAATTATGTAAATGTATAAGCATGTAATATTATATTATGAAACAATACTGTGCAACAACAACAAACTAACATACCAGCAAAATCTCTTCCACATCAGGTAGCGTTTTCAGGAGAGTAAAAAATTTCATTTCAGCACAGCCAAACTCGACAATCTAAAATAATAACAGACAATGTTAGAGGGTCAATGATAAAATCCTGATTACAGTTGAAAAGATACTAACTTTTTTGAACGAACTCTTCCAAATATCGAGTTCCAGCAACCGTAGAACCGTCAGGTATCGCTGTTCATACACCGGTGGTTCGAAACGAATCTTATTTTCTTGATCATAAAAACAGCTATTATCAAAAGTGTATGTCAACGTGATCTGATCCATTTCTAGGGTGGGTTTTTGTTTAATATGAAAACAATCAGGAAAGTTTATTATTTTCAACTCAACTACTAATGATAGATTCAAAATAAAAAATAAATCGCGCACACTACTTCGATAAATCCTTCACTATCGAATTTCGACTTCAAGAAAGTGCACATGTAAACAAAAACAAAATTCGTCGCACACAGTGGGCTTCCTTGAGAAAAGGCTTTTTTTTAACGCGAGAGCGTGGCGCTCATATATTTTTCGTCAGGTTCAATATCGAATGCAAAGGCCCTATAGGCCTATGTATACACGCTAAAATCAATAATTGCTTGCCGGTGGGGCAAAAGTTTGTTTTGAACACATTCGAAAAAAAAACTGTTCTATAGCTACTAATGGACGGAAAACTCATCTAAGATCTAATAGTACGTTCAGACTATAGAGTTATAACATGTTATAGTGCTATCTTGATGGTGGTTTCTGTGTTGCAATTATTTGACAACCGTTATAACATGTTACAACTGCTCAGTCTGGACAGCGTTTAAGGGAAAGATGTAAACCTTGAATGAGGGATCCTGTCTATGGAATTTGTTTGCATGCAAATGTTTGGAGTTTTGAGAAATTTTATTTTTATCCTATAAGTACTCTGTCAAATCCGAGGTCAAATCAAAAGTTCGACAGTGAGCATGCATAAGGGCCTATACGCGATGATCGATTCTCTTCGTCGATCTTCTCTTTTGTTAATAACTCGCTAGATTTAACGTTTCTCTGTGCGTTTGCTGTTGCTTTTGATAGCCAATACAACCTGTTACTACTCTGCATTGAACAAATTCTAGAAAATTGTTTCGCTTAGCTGTAGCAATGCAAAGAGAAAATCGATGAAGAGAATCGATCATCGCGTATTCGCCCTTATGCATGCTCAGTGTCGAGTTTACCTCCTCTCCCTTTTTATGGCACAGACCTGTTGGTCCATATTAGATTTACCTTCTCGTTAATGTAAAAGTTGAAGCTTCAAAAATCAAACTGTCAAAAAGAAAACCAATGCTTTTAAAATGAAGTAACGTTATGAGTGTATGCGTTAAAGTTACACTGTTAATTTTCTACTTTTAAGCTTTCCGCTTGACAGCTAATATCATTAATATTTATACTAAAAATTATAATAATCACCAATTTGAGCAATTTTTACACCAAATATTACTTCAGATCAAGCTGTTCTTCCCCTACGTTATGTCTGTTTGTCTGTGTCAAACAGACATAACGTAGGGGAAGAACAGCTTGATCTGAAGTAATATTTGGTGTAAAAATTGCTCAAATTGGTGATTATTATAATTTTTAGTATAAATATTAATGATATTAGCTGTCAAGCGGAAAGCTTAAAAGTAGAAAATTAACAGTGTAACTTTAACGCATACACTCAATGACATTTCACATTTCACATGTTTACTGCAGCTTTTTGTTTATCATCATTTTTGCCAAGATTTTCGTTTTCGATAGCTCTGATCGATTTCGACTTCGGCTTTTCATGATAAAAACGGTACTGGACACTCGACTGGACGTTCCCCCAGCAGCAAATCTCTCCAAGTTGCAGGCTCATGGCGAATCGAGCGTAATACCAACAATCAATACGAAACTAACGATTTTAAATTGGCTCACTACTTGACTAGCCTATTGGTCCCAAGCAAATCGACTAACGTACCCCATTATAGTATAAATTCCAGTACTACACTATGTTTGTTTTGATTCGCTATGAAAGTTTGACAGATAAAATGAGGGGTTAGTGGATTTTCCTATGTTTCGAGGGGTGAATCGATTACCTTGGGACCGAAGATAGTACCAGAGCTCAGCCAAAAAGTTGAGCTCGTTTCTTCGGGACCTTCTGGTCTTAGAGCGAGTCAGAGTTACCTCTATGGTAATACCACCACGGAATCATCACTCTGGGACTCCGCTTACAGGGGTGGCGTAGTCAGTCGATTGCCGTTTTATCGGAGGACAGCACATTGGTTCGCAGACGATGAAGAATTCTTCTAATTAATGACTATTTCCTGGGAACAGAAGTGCGGCCGATTATGTGCCCTGAGATCAGCTACCAAATAATGCCGAATTTATTAGAAAAGGAGCGGATTTTGGTGGCGGTGACCAGCAAGATCATGAAGGAATGATTTGCCTCTCGTGTGAAATCCATTTTTGATTAAAAGAATTTGACATACACTTAAAACCAAAAATAGCCAAAAACAAAAAAACAACTGTCAGATTCACAAATATTACACATATTAGAATATTTAATATTTCCACCATTGGTATTGATGCTGATACTTGGAGCTGTCCTTCCCCTAGGATTGGCATCAAAAACGACAGAGTGACGTTAATACTGTGGGGTTTCTCCGGTTTAATCGAGCTGGAACTTTGCTACGACACTTACCTAGGTGGGTTTTCGGATCCATGACTTCGGTTTTGTTGCGGACCGTTTTCAGTTGATTGGCAAAGCTGGAGCAATTTTTTTTTTCCTAATGTAAACAAGAAGGAAAAAAGGCAGGGCACGCTAAAAATCGTTTAGTGGTTAGGGGTCATCCATTAATTATGTCACACATTTAGGGGGGAGGGGGGGTTTTGAAATCTGTGACGAGCCCTAGGACGAGCCATACAAAAAATAAGGTTCATACAAAAAATGTGACAAAGGGGGGAGGGGGGTTGAAAATGGGCCAAATTTGCGTGACATAATTAATGGACCATCCCTTACTCAAATTCTATATTGTTGGAATAAACATGCTTTTGACCAGGCTTCCGGAAATCTCACGCGTACACAAATGCGACAGCGAGCTGTGAGACAGAGCGTCGCATGACTCTCAAATCCATAGTGTGCTACATTAATTGTACAAAAGAGAGACCAGAACGATGCGCGCGACAAGCTACACGCTCTCAACAAATTCAAGCGTTTCAATTTTTTTTGTCTCATCGCATTGCTCTCTCAATGCGACGCATGTATTCAATCACATGCGACTGTTTCATTGCAACATCTCTATGCGCTCTCTCAGGGCGCCATCACCGTGCGCTGTTTCGCATGCCTTGACTCTCGCGGTCCCATCATATGTGATGTTGTCGGGTGACGAGAGAAGGGACTGAAACGGTTTGTTCACAGAAGACTTGTGTGCCCTTTTCAAATGAGGTGAAGTTTTTAAATGGTTCCAGAAATATCTTCTAGTATAGATTCAAGCAGACTCAACACATGGTTCCAGAGTTATACTGGAATCACCGTAAGATCACCACTCATGATCCTAGTAAGACGCAATTGCTTGTCGAAAGGATGCTAAAGGAAGACTACGTGAGCGGTGGATGGCAACCTTACCGTAGCTGGGACCAGGGATGGAAAATCATTTACATTCATTTCGTGCATTCATTTACATTCATTTGTCAGTAACTTTTTCCATCAGCAGAATACCGTAAAATGATGTATGAAGTTTTTGTAGCTTTTGATATTAACTAAAACTTTTGTAAATAATTAAAATCTGAATCTCTTATGCATGACGAACTAGATCTGGCAGAACATGTTATTGTTTTTCAGTGAATGCAATTTACATTCACTGAAAAACAATGGTGGGTTCCTATCGCTCTGATTCATCATGCATAAGAGCTACCGATTTGAGTAATTTACAAAAGATGTAGCTAATATCAAAACCTTCAAAAGTTTCAAACACTATTTTAAGGAATTCTGTTAATGAAAAAAGTTAGAGGCAAATGAATGTAAATGAATGCACGAAATGAATGAAAACGATTTCCCATCCCTGGTTGAGATACCGTTAGCATGTTAGCACCCCAAATAATACCGGAATATCTGTGGAACTATGTGTCCTTCAACAAGTCCTTATGCGGAAATCTTCTAAAATACATTTTTTTGAAGCCTCTGAAGCTTTCAGCCCATTTGGTGGAAAAATAAACCAAATTAGACTCAGAATCCCTCAGAATACTTTTACTCAGACCAGTAAAAATATAAATGGATGATTTTGAATGTAAAATAGCACTACATTTTACGACAGACAAACAGACGTAACTCTTTGAAAAAGTTTTTCTTGAAAACATAGTATCTCAAAACATAGGACCTCAGTAACGACATCTCTCTAGCTTCTCGCGGAAAACAAGATTGCTCGCTAATTCGCAAACAATATTGCATAAAAGTTTTATAGAATGTAAAGAAACGTCAAAGTGATCCGATGCCAGCGCTGCGGTGGGTAGTTCGCGGAACTGATAATATTCAAATCAACCGTTATATGCGTGAACGAAGATACACAATGAAGAGTTACGTCTGTTTGTCTGTGATTTTACTATATAAGATCATATAGTTGGCGTTAAGTCAGAAGCGACTAAGTAGCAAAATAAAAACAAAAAATGAGTTAATGATATCATAAGATCAAGAATTCCCTCAGCTATATTTCACTTTTTCAGCCAGATTTGAAAAATTAGAGTAGCAAGAGAAAACGGTCAAATGATTTGTCCTATTACATAAGACACAATATTGAACAGCCAACTTTAAATTCGTTTTTCTCGAAATCAAAAAAAAATCACAGTTCGGTCTGACTTGACCGATCATATCAACACGCTAGTAATGATAGAACTCTTGCCCCGTAACGTGGGTAGATCACCTTTTCGTGGTACGTTACGGGATGTAAGATCTACCACCGATTCATAGTCTTGTCTACTTCAGACTAGGGGAACAGGATTTTTCAGTAATCAAAGGAACACATCTTAGTCCTTGTTACTGTTTATGCCTTGTTGATAGTGACAAGTCCCCGGGTTTCCTTGACCGAGGATGATCTTGAAACAAGGAAAAAATGAGCTAGTCTTCACCTATGTGATTCCAAATCTTCTATTCATTGTTCCCTAGTTTGAAGTGGTTAAGACTAGGGTTCTGATGCATGGTCATTATCGGTGTCATTGCTTGTTTTTGTTGCTAAGAGATCCAATTTTGATTGACAAAGGAGCGCGCCTTTGAAGGGTGTTCCAACACTCCGAAGGGTATAAATAGCGGGACCTTTCAATTAGAGTCGGATCCTTGCGATAAATGCGAGAATGACAACTGTAAAAAAATCGAATGCTTCATCATTTCTCAATAGTGATGGAGTAATACGACATGCACTAAAGTAAGGACACGGGATATACTACAATAGATCAAATTACTGGTCGCAGTGGTTTTATGTCCCGAACAGAGGAAAAAAAATGATAGAACTCTGAAGATTAATATTTGTATTTTGTCTTGCTTGAGTGAACACTATTTTAAGGGATTATTTTCAACGCAGAAGTGTACTTTGCTGCAAAAACGTTGGTGGTGACTTCTCATTACATACACACAAGTCTACACTTAAAAATTAACCAAGTTTAACATGTTGTAAATTTGTTCTGTTATGATCAATTGAGTTAAAATTTTGACTCAAAACTTGCTTTTCCATTGACCTTTGTCCGATCAGCTATGCACAAATTTTAATTTTATTGTCACCTTCCAGCAGGTGCTTCAAAAAATTTGGTATTTCTTACACGTGAAGCTCAAAATATTTGTAGTTTTGCGTCAAAATTTCAGCTCAATTGATCATAACAGAACACATTTACAACATGTTAAACTTGGCTAGTTTGTATGAAAACGACCTTTGTCCGATCAACTTGGCACCTCAGTGTACGTAGGTACGAAATGCTGGATTAAGGTTAATGTAATAAATTTAGGAAAAAGTTGTGTCATATCTGCATTACGGATTGTTGCTATGCTTTTTGCTTCAGGAATTGTATTGAATACCTGTCAATCAACAAACTTACTACGGCAGCAACTGAATTCTTCAGATGTGTTAGTGCTCAGAGAATAGTTCATATCAGCAACCATGATGCTGAACTGAAACAATCAATTTGCGACTACAGATTTCTAAATAGTCCTAGTGTTAGTACCGTGGACCCTCGGTGAAATTAAAAAAAAGCATATGTATTAACGAGCAAATACACCACAACTTGATTGTACATTTCGCTTACCAAAGCCACATCTCTTCCTTCGTTCGTTATGAATGGGCCATTTTTCAAGTTAATCCTTTAATCAACAAAAATTGCCGCTAGGAAAACTTGGTTGGTCATAACCATCCGACACCTCTTCTCCATGTTCGATAAGAGTGTAGTAGCTAGGTCGCTTTCCATCGTTTTCAAAACAAAACAACACTTTTCCCACATCAAGAACACGAGTTGGTCTTCCAGTTTAGTTTGTTATTTCGATGTCGCATTGAAACGTCGCTTAGCGACGTCTCATTGCGAAAAGCGCATGAGCTTCGGCTCACGCGACGTCGCATGATACTCGTTCTCATGAAACGCATACATCCGGAAATGTGCTGTGCTTACAAAACAGTGCGACACACTGACATTATGAGAATGTGAGATGCGACAAAACTGAAGAGAGAGAAACAGAGTGCTACAAATCTCGTGCGCATGAGACTGCTATGACTATGAGACTATTCGTATAGCGTCTCGCATACGGTAGCGCACGCACTGGAAGCCTGCTTTTGACTTTAATTCAAACATATATATTTTTGTTGCAAAAATGTTTTTAATTTATTTTGAATTATTCGTATGTTTATAGAATGAACATTTATATGTTTGATTTAAATGAACAAAGTTCGGTTCCGTGATGTAATACCGTGCGTAGGCAACATGTGACAGCGGGCCCAGCACAGCAAAATAAATTATTTGAACCCGTGACATGCTGCTTACAGCAAGGGGCACGCAGTACAAAGAACCGGTGCGTTGAAGTTAAAATGCAATCAAAAGTACTTAAAGTAATTAATGCGTTTTGAAGTAGTACTGTAATTAAAAGTATTGAAAATGTAATTAATGTACTTTAGTTACGAAATTTTAACTGTAAATAATGAAGTTAAAATGTAGTTAATGTTCTACATTGGGTAATTAATGTAATTAAAGCAGTAGTTAACGAAATTAATTTAATTACAGCCGTTGCCTGCGTTGGAGTTAAAGCACAGACAAACAGACATTACACATTGACACGTTTAATGCTCATTTTAATGAATTTTATATGGAACCTGTCGACGTGCTGCACACTAAGATTTTTTTACAGTGTACCGTAATTTTTTACCGAATATGGAACAGCTGAACCACAGACAAACAGACACAACACTTGCAAGTTTTTCATCGAACAAGCATTTAACGGTCAATTTAAAAGTATCGTAGTTGGTAGTACCGCCACCTGTGGCGCGCATAGTTAGTTCTCTTGCGTTTGACGTTTACACACTACCGCCAGTGTACCGTAATTTTTTACCGAATATGGAACAGCTGAACCACAGACAAACAGACAAACTACCGCCAGTGTACCGTAATTTTTTACCGAATATGGAACAGCTGAACCACAGACAAACAGACACAACACTTGCAAGTTTTTCATCGAACAAGCATTTAACGGTCAATTTAAAAGTATCGTAGTTGGTAGTACAGCCACCTGTGGCGCGCATAGTTAGTTCTCTTGCGTTTGACGTTTACACACTACCGCCATCTGTTCAGTGTACTACCCACCACAGTGTACTCAACAGATGGCGGTAATGTTTTAGCGACGATGTTTTACAATGAGGAATATTCAATGTGTTATGTCTGTTTGTCTGTGGCTGAACATTCGGTAATCTATTCGGTATTTTTTTTAATTTACAATCCGTTCGGTAAATTTTGTTCACTTTGTGAGCTGTCAAAATGTACGGACCAGGACTGTAAATTTTGCTGAATGATCGGTGAAGTTTGCAATATAGCGTTCGGTATAATTTTTACCGAATGGCTGTACTTAATTTGCCTGAATTAATCATTAATAACATGATTTTTATTGATTATTTAATCATTTATTTGACTAATCATTTATTTATTATCTATAAACATACATTTTCATCGTGCGTCCGTATATAAAGTAAGAACCTGACCGTGGTTAGCGACCCAGTAGCGAACCGTGCACAAATTCGCTTTTTGCTGTTGGGGACGAGGTTTGTGTGTGAGATTTGGCCATTTAATGTCCATGTCGTCTGAAAGCAATTGACCCAGAAATGAAAAAAGCATTATATAATTTATACTTTCGATGTAAATTGGACGGATTATAGGAAAAAAGTAACGTACTTACTATTCTAGAACACTCAACTTCAAAATGACAGCAAAGCTTTACAGTGTGAAGTTTGCAAATCTGTTCTGTATTTTTACTGCTGTTTGTTTTTGTAAAAGATTATATTTACAGCACATTCGTCACAATGTTTACAATATTGCGGAATTGTAGCAATTAACGATTTAGGTCAGTAATTTTGATTAACAGTTTTCGGTTGATTTCTATAAATTACGGAAATTCAGCAGTTTTGATTGCGGAAAATTGGTAAATCAATACTTTTTACAAAGTTTTCGGTAAAATTTATATTTTACAGAACGAATCCAGCAAAAAAAGTACCGAACAAGATTTAAGAAATTTGGTGTGTGAGCTTTTACTGAAATCTTCCAATAGACAAACGATGGAACTTTTGTTTTGCAAAACTTGCAGCACTGCCAGTTGCCCCATCGTTGTGGTGAACAATAATGGCTCGAATGCCGTGGTGAATAGATGACGAACAAAACTCAACGCCTTTTCGCCTCGTTTTCCACAGTTCCGCATTGGATGTCAGAGGAAGTGTTTCGGAGAAAGTGGTTTCGCTGTACGGTGTGTGTTCGGTCGATTGAAATACAAGAGTGAGGTAGAAAAAAAACCCCATTAGTGCCAGTCATCTTCCCAGTTCGTTCCATCGATTGTGCTGTAGTGTTTGACCATCTCCCAGTAGCCAACAACAACTCCCAGAATGTCCGAAGTGAAAACCTACTCGTTGGCAGAAATCAAGAGCCACAACACGAACAAATCTTCCTGGATTGTAATTCACAACAATATTTATGACGTGACGGAGTTCCTGAACGAGGTATGTGCATTGTGCAATGTTAAGAAAATCATCCCGGCTTGAGGAGGGAGTACGTGGATTTTTTGATCGTTCTCCACTAGGACTGCTTCTAATGGGGAACGTGATTACACACTTTTGCACCCTGATGATTAGGTAGTCGCTATCCAGAGATAAGCTCCTCCACTCTCATGATTACACATACCTTAACGTTTGCATTTTTTGTTCATGCCGAGTACTATGGGGGGCACTAAGGGGCCTCAAACTGGAAGATTATATAATGGAAGAAAGCATATAAGTATTTTTCTTGTTTTCCGCTAATCACACTGGTGGAAATAATTACAGCACCACATTTGAAAATAAAACTGACCTCTCCCGCTCGCGCAAAAAAAAAATCGTCCGGAATTGAATTGCAGATGGTATTGGTTCATCTCCTTAACACAAATCATTCAGTGATGCAATGTATTCAAATGGGTGCTTATACTTTTTATCCGATACTTGCTATATTGATTGATACTGGGCTATACAGTATGTTTTACAGCATCTTGAATTTTAAGGATAGACAATGACAATTGGATGCTCTTCAGCTGACGACAAATTGAACCATAAGGCAATATCCGGAATTTTAAAGCACATTGTTAAAGGGTTCGAGAAATACAATAATCATTCGAAGTCATGCATGAAGATGGTGCGAATAGTGTACGCTTTTCGCCTTTACTAGACCGCTAAGAGAAATTCTTTGGGAATTATTGAATAATAAATTGGGAGGCATCATGACAGCTATTTTGATGTGTGAGGAAAATGTAACAATCCTAGATTGGGCTACAGTAATCCTAGGAGGTCCTGTAGTTACGCCAATGAATAAAACCCTGATTACCGATTTCGGTAATTTTTCATTAACTTTTCTACAGCTGAACTTACAGTAAAACTTCATTTAAGATTAACTCTGTTCGGACCACTTCACGAAGTGATAGTTGGATGAATATATTTCTGGTTTATAGTCTGCGCCAAAAGCCCCGCCAATGGCTATTGACGAGCAAGATAATTGTCGATCGAGAAGCAGTTTCAGTGGAGGTGAGAAAACAAATTGAATGAGGCTCATTTTCAAAATACGAGATCAAATTAAATGAACTTCTCAATCAGTGATTCTTAGTGATGATGTTTTAAAAATGAGATGCTTCAGAACCACAGAAAGGGATAACTAGCGCTGATCGCCAGTTTTATAGAAGATTTCTAACGATCTTCACTAACTAGTCTCGGCCAGTCATCTATGACTATAAATGTGCTATTTATTGAAATATAGGCTATAATGTAAACATGATATTGCAATTTGAGTGTTCTATTTTGCTCCACCCGTTCGCTGTTAGATATGGCATCTAAAAAAGGATATTAATGACTGAGTACTCCATATATTTGTACTCTAGATTTTCAGTTAGTGGACTTTCAGTTACGGAACATTTCAGTTAACGGGTTTTCGCTTAGCGAAAGTGCAGTGGATATTTATCGTACCGGTTATAAGTTTACCGAAAAACTGAGTTGAACCAAGTTTAGTGAGAACCTGATTTCAGGAGAAAAAACCCAGTTTTAAGCATGACGTCATAATTATTTCCATCAGTGTATGTAAGCTTCAAAAGCAATAAGAGATACATATTACCATCCCATGAGGTTTCGTACCAACGCACACTGCTAAGCGACAACGAAGTTTATCATTCACTTCTTTTTGCAAACCATAGTAACAACGGTTAACGAATAAACGTCCAATACACGGGTTAAGATGGTGATCTTTTTTTGATTGCTACATACTGCCGGTATTCGCATGACAGTCCTATGTCCTTGAAAATTCCTATCTACATGAGACTGTTATGCGAATAGCGGCAGCATACATATAATACTGTTTTTGGAGTTCACGCCCGCACACCAACGCATGCTCGGTGCGGCGAATAACACGTACTCGTCGGGCGAGTGTTTTTGTGTACAAAGTTCAAGGTCATCATCATCATCGCTATCGTTAATTTTGTTCTCGATTTCTAGCCGCAGATTGCAGTTGCATTGGTTTCTACTTGCCTTGATGATTGCTGCAATCACTGTCGGTATAGGTAATTGCTTTCATCGGAAAGCGATAGGCTATATGTTTACCTACCACGCGCCTTCGGTATCTAAATAGTTTATTATACTGATCGACATGATCGAGCTATTTACGCCTCATGCATAAACACATACAAACGCCGGCTTGTTTCGCTATTTGTTAAGTTTTGTATAGAAAAGTCAATATAGTGAAAGATCGTTTGCGTTGGATTTCAAACTGGCTGATTAGTCGGTTTGCAATACTCAGATAGCTTAATTGGCCAATTCAGGCGGTACAAGTTGAATAATTCGACGGTTCAAGTTCAACAGTCTAGCCCAATGGAAGGTCAGATGTGCAAAAGCCGTGAATTCTAGTTGCAGAACGGTTTGTTTACATAGGCTGCTAATCAAGGACGTTCGTTCTGTGCTCCATCTTCGGCATGGAATACTCGCCGTTAAAGTGACTTAAAAACCAGAACAAAAATTTACCATACAAAAACAATAAAACTTATTGTTACAATGTAATAAGATGTATTGTAGCAACCATAGCCAAAATCAATAAAAATACAATAGAACTTATATGCATCTGAGTCTGATAAACTAATTTTAACTCTAATTTGTCCAAAAGTTGTTCAATGAGTTTTGTTAATTTTTAAGGCTGTGAACCATTTGCCGAGTTAAATTTAACTCGTGGTTAAAAGTGACATTTCGAAAGTTATTTTCTATGTTCGAAAATCCCCGTGCTGTCGATCGACCGGTTTTCGAGCCACGGTTGTCAAAATTTAACTTCTTGTCTGTCAGAAATAACCATGCTCGGATAGCAGGGTTAATCGATAACTTTTCATCTGTCAAATTTTAACCAAAAGTTAAAATAATCCACCAAATGGTTCAGAGCCTAAGTGTCCAACTTGAAAATTTCCCAAAAGATAGAATTTTTCATAAGCTTTTTAATGATAAATATTCAAAGATAACTCAAAAGTTGTTCGCTCATTGAACAGTTGAAGAAACAAGAAATTGTTGAAATAAACATTGGCGTAGCTAGAAAGTTTTACGGGAGGGAGCCTGCGGTATTTTTTGTATTGTTAAACTACGGTTAAATCTCGGGTTAAATGTGAACTCTGGAGCTGCTATTCAATCAAAAAGCGTCAAGGCTATTTGTTATTTTATTTTCCTGTTGGACACATTTCCACTTAGTCCAATAATACGACCTATTATGTCGAAGCTTGCTATTATTTTAATGGTGAAACTGATTTTGAACCAGCAATGATCATTTGTTCAAGCATTTTGTAATGAAATTACATATTGTCTGGATCTCTATTAGGATTTTAAGAATGTCAAACTCAAACTCAAATTCTCAGATAAGATAATGCTCAGTGTTAGATAATTCCATGAATTTTGAAACTAGATTTTGTTTAGATCTTCCATGCGGTTGCGGTACAAGCACATATCGTCGATAATAGACGATTGTTGTGTATTAGAGAACGCTTGCACTTGTGTAGGACACGGATTCGAAACTCAGATGTCATAGTTGAAGATGCTAATTTCAAATAACAGACTAAAGTGGTAATTTTTATACGATAGATGAGGAGATGAAAGTATAGAATTGATAGTTCCGTTTAGAGTACGGCAGTGTAAGATGTCATGCTAAATACATCCGTAGACCATATAAGTCCACCGTTGTAGAATGGGCAATGCATCCGTGTACTGAATGGGATTTATGGGTTCAAATCTTTTTACGACTCGCGCGACTTAGGTGACATCGTGACATCGGATGTATGTAATGCACGAGAGATAAATACAATTAAAAGAAACTTTATTATGTAAGACACAAATAAATTATGCTTCGTGTGTAAAACACGCTGTTTCACTTCTCATTCTAAAACCTGCCGATGACGTTTCTCGCTGTTCGGTAGCATCGACTGGATACAGGGTGGTCTGCCAACAGTGAGCTCAGCTGGTCGATGGATTCTGTTTCGTGTACTAGGGATGTCCATGGGTCCCATCATCTCCCCTCTTTAGTATAGAAGGTAGGAATCGAACCACTGAGGCTGCCTTCGAATCCTCGAAGAGCGACGTAGTAGCTGTACCGCTGGGCTGCTCTCGGAAGCGCTCTGGAACTCCGACGACGTTGTCTTGGAACTGGAACTGGCGATTTACCATCGGAAGCTGAGGGATTCAGTGTGGTCCGATAGGTTAGCAGAAAGGTATCGATAGCTACCTGGATGTCTCCTCTCCCCTCTCGTATTTTCCCGGTTGCCCGCGTTCGTCCTGCCCGTTGGACTGCGGATGGTAGGGCTCCGTGGTGATGTGGTCGCTATCGTTGTCAAGGCAAAAGCTGCTGGTGGGCATTCCGAAAGTGCGAAAATACTCCGAAGAATGACAATCGTGGTGTATGAGGTGATGCTTTTGGTTCTCACGATTTCAATCCACTTCAAGAAGGAATCGACGACTAGTAGAAAATGATCACCTCCGAGTGGCCCAGCGTAATCAATGTGTACGCGTTGCCACGGTTGGGTTGACTTCGGCCACGGTTTTGATGGAGCTTTCGGAAGACTTTTCGCGACGGATGCGCACTGACGGCAAGTCTTGACGAATGCTGCGATGTCGGCGTCGATTGAAGGCCAATAAACGGAGCTACGAGCTATTGCCTTCATGCGTTGGACTCCGGGGTGACCTCGATGCAGTTGGTGGAGGCAGCGGTCCCGAAATTGTGCCGGAATAGCAAGACGTTCTGCGAACATCACGCAGCCTTGGACAACCGACAACGAGTCTTGACGGTCGTAGAACTTCTGGACTTCTTGATCGGCGATGGCCGACCTGGAATTCGGCCAGCCCTGCTGCCCGAACCGGTAGACCTTGCCAAGTACTGGATCAGTGTTACGGTGTTTCGCACCATCCCCTTACAATCAATTCCTCAGTTGGACACCCCTCGGATGAAACCCGCTGAACGACGACCAAGA